CTTTTACTGCCGCTCAACCATTCACTTGCCCCCGAGCTTACCCCATTCGTTTGGAGAAAAAATAGCGTGTTGCATACGGAGTAGAAGCACTTTTTTGTGCTTCAGCAGTATTGCAAGCCTCACTACGTTCGGCTCGCAAACCTACCGCTTCAGCACAAAAAAGTAAAGCTTCTACTCCTAATACAACAATATACTATTAATTTTTTTATCTAATTGCGGCCCTCCATTTTGTGTGATTGGTGGTTCCACGTTTTTTGAGGTAAGTCAATTCAGATTTTTGGGCTTATAGATACGTACTGCTGCTCTGGTTTTCAGAATCAATTGTTAGTGTGGGAATATTGGACCGTTTGCTCTAAATAGAGTCGATGAAAACCAAATTTTTGTGTCCATCCCCATCAACTGTTTATTATTGAATCCAGGCAGAGGCCTATATAGCCATTTTCTGTTTGACTCCATCAATTATTATCTTCTCGAAGAGAAGAGTGTTGAAAAAGGGTGTAATTTTCTAAAATAGAAATCTAGACAGGTCAAAAATTCATTTAAAAAGTTTTAATTAAAACATCTCAAAAATTTTGACAGTTCCTGGATTTGCTTGATTTCACCCTCAGTAGTACTTATAGTAGCTACCTTGGCCTAAAGGGAAAATTTGGTCTATTTTGAGGGAGAATCTAAAGATTTAATTTCTTAATTTTCTGAGTTTGTTCATATTCTTGCCTGTTATTGCTACTGCCAGAAAAGCAAAACTCTGCTTAACTTGTAACGAGCATTTTTATTTTATCCTCTTGTTATTATCTATTTTTATGATTAGCTTTCAATTATTTAATTGTATTTTTTTTTAAATTAAAATATTTCTCCAATTGACAATAGTTGCTCAATGCTCATACTTACCTGATTCTGTAGGAAAGAAGTGTCTGCACAACAATAGATTTATATTAAATTTCAATTTAAATTTTCTTTGTAGACAGAATTCAGGGATTCAATATTCCAAATCTTGGTGAACCTGATACTGCCTTATTCTTTTCTGGGTACCTACTCGACATAAAGATCAGTGTTTGGAGTCTGGATCAGCTGGAGTGACGTCACCTCAGCAATCTATCCTCTTTCCTGGACACAGGAAACAACACGAAGAGCTCCAGTTCACGAAAGTGAAACTCCAAAATCCCTTGAAGAGCTCCGGATTGGAAAGGTACATTGTATCAGATTCACCAGAACAACCAAGCTGTCAACTGTCAAATTTTAACTCTTAAATTTAAATTTAACATTCTTACCACATTGTAAACAAAATAAAATTATTGTTTGTTGGATTTTGCGTGGTTTCATTTGCACATAAAGGGGCTACACGTTATCTATCTTAATTTTTTGAATTCCACTACCCAAGGTTCTTGTATCTTAAAGTTCAAATAACGAGGTTTATTTGTAACAAGACAGAGTAAAGTGATATAACGTAGAGAGCAGGAAAAAAAGAGCTATAGCTTGTATAATCTAATACACAGTTTCGGCTATCCGCGTCTCCCTTTATTGCGGTCCTCTTCAACTTCCACTCGTGTGCTAAGTCCAAAGTCTCAGTTGCTCGAAGGGGGAATAGTTTAGGAAGCATTGTTCAAGCAAGAGGGAGAGAGAGCCACGTAATCACTGAAGATGGAAGAGAATAGAGAGAGCGACGTATACACTCAATATGAAGCGATAGAAGTTGCACTTTTACCACGTGTAAGGTACTTCGTACACGCGTCACGTTACGTCACGTTTTGGCCAATTTCGTTACACGAAAGAGCAAAAAGATATAACGTAGAGAGACGGAGAAAAGACAGTCAATGACAATAACAGCCGACGAACGATTGATACAAACCAAGGATTATAAGCAAAGAGGATTGCCTATTATTTTCAAGCGCCGATACCCTTGTGACGTCACTACATATGCGCGTCTCCCTTTTGTGTGGACCTTTGTCTTTACCCCGACTATAAGTCGAGGCCAAGTCTTAAAAGTTTCATGAGGCGGGAATAATTTTGAAGTAAAACCTCTTAGGCGGCGTTCTGATATTTGGACGAGATTGGAGAGTGATTTAAAAGACGCGTCACGTTTAGGCCCATTTCGTAACATTATAGAGAGAAAAAAAAATGCAGAGAGAAGGAGAGAGAGAGAAAGAGCTCTCTTTTTCCTGCTCTTTACGTTATATCTCTCTACTCTATCCTGCGAGGAAGGCCTGCGTTATATCCTCGCAGGACAGAGTAGAGAGATATAACGTAAAGAGCAGGAAAAAGAGAGATATAGCTTGTATACATATATATTATACACAGTTTTGGCTATCCGCTTCTCCCTGTGCGGTCATTTGTCTTTAATTTCCACTCGTGCGTTGAGCTCAAAGTCTCAGTTGCTCGGAGGAAAAATAGTTTAGGAAGGAGAGAGAGCCACCTACGTATTCACTAATGACTGAATACCCCAATAGAAGAGAATAGGGAGTAAAAATCTGTTGCCACAAGAGTGGAGCAAGAGTATAATAATATAGTCAATACGAAGCCATAGAAGTTTCACTTCTCCACGTATACGGCGCTGCTTCTATGTCTTTACCTCGACTCATACGCTAAGTCTAAAAGTTGTATGAGGCGAGGACAGTTTTGAAGTGAAACTTCTTATGCGGCGGTCTGATATTTGGATGAGAATGGAAGGTGATGAAATCCACACTTTCCTCACACGCGTGCTGGGTATGCTAGCAGTTTCGTGCAAAATTATGTGTGTTTGTTTGGTTAGCGTTTGTCTTTTGAAAAACAAAAATGGAGGTTGTAATATATTGAGGTGCAATTAAGCGATTGATCAATGATTACTTTAAAATTATTTATTTAACGATAAGGGAGCAGGGATGGTACCATCTCATCATGTAGCTCATTGCTGGTTGTCATCTTCAATGTCCTCGCCTCGTCTCGGTCCTCCGATTCTCAGTCGCCGCATGCATGTGCATGGCGATATATTAATAACTATACAGACTGTCGCAATCATTATACAGGATGTCACAGATGTGTTATCCATTGGAAAAGTATGGAAACATGAGTCATTATTTTTCGCTTAATGATCTCATGTACCCATCATGGCCATAATGTCCTACGACTTGCTTTATTTTCCAATATTTGTAAACATACTGCCGCCTCTCCCTCTACTAGTTTTTGCTCCCCGAATCGGAAGAATTGGCATATTCCATTTTTTAACACTATACGAATACTATTTCTCGAACTAAAATAAAATTGGCTGAAAAAACCTAGTACAGGGTATGAAGCATATTGTGAAGGCAAATAGTGTGTTTCTGAAGTCAAATTTGTATTACACGTCACGGTACGCGCCAGCTCGTAACGTGACGTACCGTGTCGAAGGTGTGTTTCCGGCTAAAGACAGCCGACGAATGATTGACACAAACCAAGGATTATAAACGAAGAGGATTGCCTATTATTGTGAAGCGCCAATACCCTTGTGACGTCACTACAGATGCGTATCTCCTTTAGTCCAAAATCTTAGTTGCTCAAAGGGGAAATAACTTAGGAAGCATTGTACAAGCAAGAGAGAGAGAGAGCCACGTATCTACTCAATACAAGACAATGGAAAAGAATAGAGAGGTGGACACTCATACGCGCAGTACGACTCTGATGCCACGAGATTGGAGCAAGAGAGAGTGACGTCTACACTATACACTCAATACAAAGCGAAAGAAGTTTCCCTTCTACCACGTGTACGGCCCTGCACATGATTTTTTTAAATTTCACTTATCTGTTTCTCAGTTGGTCTTTGGGATTAGATATAGATAATTTGGGAACCATTTTTTGATCCTAAGGTCCAAGGTTTGGACAAATAATGCCTTGGAGAATAGGAAAGTTCAATGCCAAATAACGATGCTAACTTGATCCTTATTGTCTGAAATCAGAAAATTGTAAGACTGGGTTTCTAATCACTATTCTGGATGTTAGAATTTAAGTTTCTATGGGATTTGTCTCATACTCATGGGAAACTTGCTGCAAGTATGTACTTACTAGGAGAATCTTCACAACAAGATTGGTTTGTAAGATGCCAGGATTATCAGGCCTGAAAGGTACCATCTTCTTTCAAAAAAAACTTGTACCTATAGTCGCTGCAATTATTTTTTTTTTTCTGGAAATACCAGTTATCTCATAGGTTATTTCTTAAAACGTAAATAATCCCAATTTATAGTGTACTTAAAAGATAGAACATTGAGCATTAACTGAGCAGTTACAAGTCCGACAAAGAGGAAGAAGAACCTCCTATAAGCCAAAGTCCGCCATACACACAAACCAAAAACATTTTCCTCTCGATACGGAATAGTAAAAGTCATGTGTTTGACAGCGGGCAATAAAATCGAGGCATTATTGAATCGGAACTGAAAAATCGTGTGTTCAATCCGTCTAATAGTCCATTGTCAGACTTTTAACTTTGATTGTATGTGATGTGGGCGAGCTCATTTAAAAAATAATTTCCTGTGCGGTACAATGAATATAATTACCGCGCGAGACTTGGGTGTAATGACATCTATTAGAGCGGTAACAGTAAATTTTTTTAAATGACATTTTAATTAATTTTATATTGGGAGAGGATCATTTGCTGGAACAGTGATTAAGCGTTCGTTCTGCAACGATCAAACATCGTTAGGGTAAACAAAAGCGTCGTAATTGTCCACCAGTGGGAAGTTCTTTTTATTGATATGAGGCAAATAAAAATAATCAAAATGAATTCGCAATAAGCTCTTGTATAAATTAGCAAATGACTGTCCAAGCTGAATATTAAAACTATACGAATGAGGTATTTATTTTTTATTATATAGTGACTGACTCTCTTTTAGCATATTAAGCATTTTCTCTTTACATTTTTCATAATAAAAGAAAGATTTAAATCAAGGAGTCGTCCCGAGAATTTTAATGAACACCCGGGAGAGTAATGAGAATGTCGCAAATCGCGCAATGTGAATAAACTCTAGATGGCGAATAATCAACATGAAATGAATTATTTAACGATCCCCTCTTTTTTATTATAATGATGGGAACAGTGCAGTTAAAAAAAAACAAGCCAAATTTGTTTAATAAATAAAAAAATAAATTTATTATTCTTATGTTTCTTCTTTCTTAGGCCTTTTCAAATCGATGGTAACTTCTTCCACTTTAGGTTGTAATGGTATAAAAACTTCGCCTTTAACTCCATTTTTGTAATGGGAAATATTGATCATACACACTTCTCGACTGAATGCGTCTTTGAGAAATTCTTTTTTCAAAGCCCTTCTTGTAATTTTGGCTGCGATATGAGAGTAAATAAGGTAACTAAGAAAATAATAATTATTATGGAAAAAATAACGAGTATGGTATAATATTCACCTGATCCCTATGTTCTTGTAGATATCTTTATGTGTCAGAACCATATTTTTGTAAAAACAGACAAAAAGTTGGGAAAAAAAAGTAAAGTTTTTGATAACAGTCAGTAGCTTGACAGATGACGTCAAAATACCTCATTTTTAAAATGACTAGGTAGGTACCTATTGGAAGTACCTGATGTCTTTGATGAAGAGGGCAAGGACAATAGTAAACTCAGAATGAAATTTCTCTAGTGACCAAATGCGCAGAGCACGAATTTGCAATTAGAACTATCTCTCTTTAGACAAAACAATAAGCTGAAAACAACACGTAGCAACAGCAACATTCAAGATCAAATCACTAGCATCTCATCGACTACGTTATTTTGCGTGCTGATGAATACTGGACCAATAGTTGGTCTGATCTGTAACAACTACTTGACCTGTTCGGTTCGGTCAAATATCTAGGAATCATCATTGATTCCAGGCTGACCTAAAAAAATTACATCAACAGGATCGTCCAGAAGATGAAGACACCAAAACAAACTTCCAACTCCTATGAAAAATTCTCTGTGGAATATCTCGACAATATTGAGAAGCACGGACTTCATCACAAGAAAACTTAAGTGTGGTTTGATGAGAACATTTGAAGAAAGTCAGAACATCGTGGATCAGAAGAGAAGGTCGCAAGTCAGGATGCTTCAGGAATTTCAAAGTCAGGAGTAGCAAGATGCATGGATAGGCCTCTAGAGGTCAATGGTCAACATCGAACAATAATGAGCGCGGGATGTTAGATACAAATTTGCAAAAGAAGATAGATAGACTACAGATGATAATGTCTGTAGGTACCAGTTTCAAAGAAAATGTCAATCGTTCCAAAAAGGCTTTGAAGGAACTTTCAAGGAGTAAGACCAAGACAAAGTAAAAAAGCAAAGAAGTTCTTCAATTTTTCTTAGAAATTCTGTAAATATATTGTGTATCGCGGAAGAAGATCCTTCAATAAGTTTGACGCTGTATTGGCGAACAAATTTTTTGTTACATTGAAGAATCGTTCCTCTCTTCAGATTATCATTGAACTCTTGTATGTCTCTGTCCGTTCGTACCGGACCTCGTTACTTTTCCTGATTTAATCTTTAGTAATTAACAAATTCGTGACCCCTCCGAGAGATTCCACTGTACGTTTTCAAACTATCGAGTCATCATTCATCATTAATACTCAACAATTAATTATTGTTGCGGCCGTACGGGGCGCAATGACAAAAGATTTATTGTATCGGAAAAATAATTTACATTGAATTATTCAATCACTGCGGGGCAGTGCCTGTGTGCTCTGCTTGTTTATAAATTTGGGCACCTCGCCTTCTATGGCAAAGCGTTTGTTCTACGCTCCGCTGCGTTTGTTTCATCTTCATTGTTTATGTTACCGTGAGAAATTGTTACAACTTTTGCAACATGAATTGTACGATATGCGCTCGCCAATAATTGGTTCATTGGACGCGATTGTTTAAATTAATGTGGAGCTTAAATTCAAGTTCACCAACACTCACTCATTTTTAAAGACTACATTTTTATACATAAAAATCAGATTATAAGGGCTTAACCAAATGCCACAAACAATATATTTGTAAGCATTACTTATATAAGTATATTTCCCTACTTAGATTAAATACTTATATTTTGGGTGATTCAATTTACGAGAAAACTACTTAATTAGGTCTCGAGGATTGTTCAGAGTTCCATTCTTCTACGCTTGGGTCTCATAAAACGTATTGTTCTGCAGTCGCATAAAGCACCATATATATCCTTTATTAATATCATCCTGCCCTTCGCTTATAGTGGTAATAACAAGCATAATTTCATTGATTGTCAAGCGCAGAGACATCGGGACGCTCCTAGAGCTTTTAGGAATATGGGCGACTATTCTTGATAGCAGAAAGTTTGAAATTTGGAAAAAAGTAGTCTATTTGAACACACCTACCTAACTAAAAAATATTATTATGCAGAGCAGCATATTTTTTTTCTACTTAAACATGTGCTAGAAAGCTTATGGTTCTTGGCAGTTAGCGTAGACACTGGCACTTGGCAGTTAGCGTAGACTTTGGATAATTCGCTGGCTACAGTCAGAGCAGAGATCATTATGAAGAAATTTGAAACTTTGAAGATTGCTGTATCTTCGATGGCTTCCAAATAAATTTTACCCAGCAGTTTCCACTAAGTGCAGTAGGCATCTATTGCCCTGACATGCTGTTCGAATTTCAGAGTCGAGATTCGGGTTTGTTTCGAGTTGGTGTACATAGTTATGTCGTCAGCATACAGGGCAAGGTTGGTATTCGGACTCTTCGGTATGACACTGCCTTGTGGTGTGATTAATTTTATGTCAGATTTCGCGTTTCTAATGTTTACGCTGAATCTTCTGCTTCTAAGGTAGCTCTCAGTGATTCGAGCTATCGCTGGGTTGAATCTTAAGTTGATCATTTTGTAGATAAGGCCCTTTCTCCAGACAATGTTATATGCCTTTTCCATGTCTAGTGTGGCTAGGGTTGTGGTGTGTTTTTCGTTATTGGCATCCATGGCGTGGTCTATTAGTCTTGCGAGCTGTAATTCAGTCGTCCTGTTCCGTCTGAATCCGAATTGCTCGTCGATGATTAGTTGGTTGTTTTCCAGGTGCTCGGTTATCCGTTTGTTCAGGATCCGCTCCAGTACTTTCCCAAGGAAGTTCAGTAGCGAAATGAGTCTGTAGTTTTCTGGTTTGTTTTGGTCCTTGCCTCGCTTGGTGAGCATGATGGTTTTGGCTTCCCTCCAATCATTGGGAAAGTACTGGAGTTTTATGCACGCATTGTAGAGGTATGTTAACTGTACAAAGGTTTTTCTTAGTAGGAACTTGCAATTTTTTTCAACAATGCCATCGTTCCCTGTAGCCTTGTATGGTTTTAATTTGGAGATAAGTCTGGCGATCTCTCTAGGGCTGGTCAGTATGTCATCTGCATTGTCCGGGGTCCTATCCACAAAATTCCAGGTGTGGAAGACCTGCCTGCTGGTGCCGTCATCTGATAGTTGTGCTGTGAGTTTACTTGTTTTGATTAATTGACTTGGAAACGCCTCGGTTTTTCGTTGTGTGTCTGTGATTGTGTTTATTTGTCCTGTGGCGTCAATTACCGATAGTGAAGAATTGTTTTGTGGGCTATTTCTGTTCCTGTAGCCTTTTATGTGTTTCCATATGTTGCCTTCATTGTGGGATATTAGTATTCTCTCGTCCCACTCCTTGTTTAGGTGTGACGTCAGTAGTGATCTAACCAGGGTGCATTGTTCCAGGTATTCAATTTGGTCGAAGTGGTCCCTGGTTCTCTGGGCTCTTGCCCTTAGCTTGCTCCGTATATGTATTTCCCTTTGTATGTGTTTGGGAAACTTTTGTTTGTTATTAATGGTAATCTTTTGTAGGTATGTGTTGTTCCTTGGCCATCATGATGATATTTACGAGGCTTCGGATTTCTTGGTGCACTTCATTTGTCGTTACGGTTCTGTTGTTAATCGTAACGCTTTGGTTAATTGTGTTTTTGTATGCTGTCCAGTCAGCATCCTTGTAGTTTACGAATGGTTTGGGGGTGCTGTTTGTATTTGTTGGTCGATTTGGAACCAGACTGGATAGTGACATTGGAATCAGCAGAAACCTAGATCTGGTGATTCCAATGTAATGTCTATAGTGAAGCTTGCTTGTGGTCTGGTGGGTTGGTCCGGAGCTATAATCTGTAGGTCTGTTACGACTAGAATGCGATTGAGTATGTTTCCGGCTGTGTTGCAGCTGTGGTTGTTCCAGTCGGGATGTTTGGCGTTTAGATCTCCGACCAAAATTACTTTAGGGTGGTTCGTAATATTAAGCATTTCTTGGTAGTCAAGTCGGTCGCAATTTTTGTTGTAGGCCACCACTACCTTGATTCCCTGGAAAGTCACTGCGATCGACTCATTGTTCGTCGTGTCCGATGGTATTCCCTCGCATTCTATGCTACTTTGGAGGTATGGGGCTATACCTCCTGATGCTACATTTTGGTTTGGTCTGTTTTTTGACAGACATCATGGTCCTGTATCCTGGGTGGTGTTCTGTTTTTGAGTCTCGTTGCTACAATTGCGATGCCTTGTGGTTTTCTCCTTTCAGCCAGGTCCCTTATTATGTTTATCCGTCCCGTCAGTTCGTTTATGTTGATAAGTTATATCTTTAGTGTGCTATTTTCCATAGTTTACAAGGATTGGAACGATTTCTTCCTGGTTCCTTGCTTGGAACAATTTGTTGTTCAAAGTCCTGACTTGATTTTTTAGCTCCTTGCTGTTGAAATTGGCATTTAGTTAATCGATCTCTTTCCTTAATGTTTAAAAGTGTCCAAGATCATCTGATTTGTCGGTCTCGTTAGGTAGCGGTGGGAATTCTTATCTCGTGCGGGTCGCAGGTTTGTCCTAGTTATTTGTCTGGTTGTTGGTGACTTGTCTGTACGATACGCCTTGCTTTATTCTGTTTGCATGGAACCGCTTTGGCTGTGTACTGGCCACGTGTTCCTGAAATTTGGTGCAACCCATGAAGTTTGTCGCTTGTTCACCATGGCAATGTTGCATTTTGATCTGGTCTTCGTTCACTCCACGCTTCCTAAAGCAGTCTAATGTTGAGTAAGAGCCTGCACATTTCAGACATTTTTTTGTTTGTTTACAGTTATTAGCACCGTGGCCGAAGCCATGGCATCTATAGCATTGGGTTATGTTATTGCGTTCATCGAAAGTTTTCCATTTTATGCAGGTATCTTCGATGTGTTTGGTCTTTTTGAGCAAGCCTATGTTAGTTTCTTTTGCTGCGGTGATTAGATAGGAATGGCCTTCTCCACGGTTAGTTTTTATCTGTACACAATCGTTAATTTGGTAATTTTGGCTAGGGATTTGCTTTACCTTCTCGGTGTCTATGTTGGGGTTACCTTAAAATACGAACCTCCTCCGTCTCTGAGTATGTGTAGTATTGAACATTATCAGTGTCTAAATTTGATCGTATCAGTAATCAGTATGTGGTCTTCTAGGATTTCAGTATATATTTATTTTGATCTCTTTTGGTGAGTATTTTAGGAAGGAGGATTTTCTCTCTAACAGTTTGATAATGGTGGTTTTT